CTGTATACAATAGCCACACCCCCGTGGTCGTCATCTCCTGGACGAGGTCTGGACAATACTGACCAATTCCTGAACCTAACCGGCTTATGGGGGGTACTCCCACGTTTCTGACGGACGCATAATGTCTATGTTGTTTTCATCCATTACCAGTCGTACAAACTCTTTCGCTGTATTCCACGACTGGCAGTTGAGAGCCAGAAGCTTCATGGTGTTGGTGTTATACAATGCTTCGTAATCTAAGTTTATTACGTAACTCCAAAAATATTGGGCACCTGTTATATGTCGACTGGTGCTTACTGCCGCAGTTGGTGCATTTAGCCAGTGACGTACAAGTATGCTCACCCACCTTGTCGGCGCAGATCCCAGACTGCTTGTCGTATGTACATGACTTTGCCACGTGTCCAAAACGGTGACAATTATAGCAACGGATAATGCGCACACATCTGGGGCTCAATATGCACTTGTTTGCCATTGAAGTAGATGTCTAGGGAAACCATCTAAACTCTGTAGGTTCTCTGCTGACTTAAAGTGCACTCGTACAACCGGCATAGGGATGTGTCTGTTCTTGTGGAATAAACGTTTGACGGAGCACACTGTGCCATGTTGCCCTAGTGCAGTTTCGACTTCCGCTAGCAATGTGTGGGTGCTCACGTTCTTCAGATACCCCATGTTTGTTGGTCTATATCCTCTTGGTTTATGGGGGGAGGAATCATGCCCAAAGGCCTCTACTGGCCATCTCTCCAGGGCTGATGTAGCTGATTGTTCCAACTCAAACTGTAGGGCTCCCCCAACACAGGGCAGGCTGAAACCATGTTTTACCGCTTTAAGCTCATATCGTCTAGCCTCCCTTTTGATTTCTACAGATGGCCTGAACTGTCTCGGTTCCTAAATGCCTTCTACCACTACAGTGTCAGGTTTAGTGTATGTAGGTCTGCTCCTAGTAACTTACAGTCTCCACTATACAGCCCGTGCTGTATCTGAACTTTTACTTTTATCACTGTTACCATGATCTTGACTGATAGAACTTGAGTTTTCAGTCGTAGTGTTCGGTGAGTGTGTGTGAGGCACATTTTGGCATGATAACCTATCTCTCAACTACGGTAAGCTGGTGTACACACACTTTGCACATACATAGGGATTCCATATTTCTCAAATTTTTCGTAAGTAGATTTTGAGATACATGTGTGACGGCAGCACAGTTTTCCCATAGGATAGTGTCGGAAGCTGGCGCGGTGTGGGCACATGCGCGAGGTGCTCTCTCTCTCTGCTGGGCAGCCATTTGTGTGAGTTAGCCTGTGTAGTTTATCGTCTCCGAATAAAGCCCGTTATTCCCGAATTCCTGTTGTTATTGCTATTGTGAGTGCTCCAATGAAGGCATAATAGACAGCTTTCACAGTGACGCCAGTATGTAGGGCAGTTTCGATTTTCAAACAAAGAAATTCTGCCCGAAGCGAAATCGGAGGAGCACTCGTTTTCACACGTGATTTCTTGGAGGCCGCCATGTCGCGTACTATCCTTGGTTATGATCGACGTATTTTCCATGCCATTGTGAGGCAAGTAAATGATGGCAACGCCTAATAAAGGTTTTTATTACTAGATAACATAGGGTTTTCCAGGTTATGCTACTCAGTTTCAAGATCAGAAGCTGTAATAACCGGTTAGTACATGTTTTTGTGACTTGGTGGCGTACGTGTTGTAATTTGTGTGGGTGACGTCACTCGCTGAGCCCAGCAGTGCGCAAGTAACATGGCAGGAATGCAGCTAAAACTATGTGTACGAGAAAGCATAAGCCGTTCCTCTCTGCTGAGATGTCAGTAGCAAGTATTGTACATGTATATATATTGAGCTGTCTCTAGTACCTGTGTGCACTGCTAGCATTTTGCAGATTGGCTCGGAGCTATTTGATCTCGGTAGCTAGTCTGCTTATGGTAAGATGACCTGAGGCACGTTATACGTGTGTCATCGAGAGTCAGAACTTTATATTATTATTACATAACAGTTTTCATGTGTGTGCGTGAGGAGAAGTTTATGTATGTGATTCCAAAATTATCTAACCTGCCATTCAAACTTAAAACCCTTTGCTGCATGGGAGCTTCCCCCTTGGTCAATATTGATGAATTTTGATATTTGTACTTGATTATAGCTCAATAGAACAAAAATCATCGATTTTGGGTGTTTTTTTTCACCCACAGAAATCAGCAGAATTGTCCATAATCAGCAGTTCATTTGTCGGCAGTTTATTTGTTTGCAGTTAATCATCTAACACACATTTCATTAGAATAAAACACTTCTAAAACTATAATCCGTGCAGCAGTTCACCCACAGAAATCAGCAGAATTTTCCATAATCAGCAGTTCATTTGTCGGCAGTTTATTTGTTTGCAGTTCATCAGTCAGCAGTCAGCAACATCAAATAACATCTTCAAGATGAAAATGTACTCGGTATTAGACCTACTCAGTCAGATGATAGTTGTAAAAGCAATCAGTTACACCATCAATGCAGAGATAGACCTTGCACTTCACACAGAAGAACCTAGATCGGCGTGTGCAGTTTGGGAACTTGCAATTCTTTGGTATCTTTGCAATTTGCTTTGGCAAGTGGTTGAAACCATCCAAACGCACATGGTCTGGGACATGCCTGGCTCTCCGAACATCTTGTGGAATATTGGGCATTTGTTCTCTTATCATAGGTTGTGGATTTGCTGCTCCCTGAACTAGGCATTGGGCAATGGCCAGCTTGAATGTGTAGTACTTCGACGAATCACCTCTTATTGCCTTTTCAAGATGCCACGCATTAGAACAAGCCAGGTCAACCATGTGAAAAATCAGGCGTCTGCACCATTTTTTGCTCTTTATTTTGATGCGGTAGAAGGAAAGCATAATATCGCACTTGTCAACACCCCCCATGGATTTGTTGTATGTCTTGATGAGGGCAGGGCACGCAATATTCACATATTCCTTGGTCTTTTTGTCATATCGGCGAACTTCCTTTGTTGGGTGGACAGAACACTTGGTTGAACCCACATTCACTACCTTATTGTCAAGCCATGAACAAATCAAGAGCCCATCAGCTGTTCTATAATCAAACGAACCCCTGCCCATCTTCTTGAACTCTTTTTCAGTAAGGGTTGGACATTGCCGTCGCCTGTTTTGGCGCACAGTGCAAGTGGCATGAAGACCTCTTCTTTAGTTCAAGAAGAAGGTCAGGGGAGGCAAAGTAGTTGTCAAAGTAAATGTGTGTCCCCTTAGGCAAATGGCTGACCAAATTTAGGACCACTTCACCACTTTTTCGGATGCCCTCCAAGTCTGACTGACCTTGAACAAGGTTATCGCCCTGTATATAGAACTTATGCATGTACCCAGATGCACCAGCAGAGCCCCAAATTTTATATCCCCATTTGTTTGGCTTTTTCTCCATGTATACCTTCAATGAATGATGATCTTTGAATGGTACTATGTGTTCATCAACAGACATATCATTATGCATCTCAGGTTCTGCACATTTTGCAAAATGTTTATTCAAAATATTCAGAAGGGGGCGTATCTTGTGCACCCTATCATAGCTAGGTTCGTCATTTTTCTTCATCAACCCATTATCTGCGGCATGCAATATTGACAGAATTTCTTCGAATCTATTGACAGGCATTACATCTGCAACAAATGTCTGTCGTGTTGCTGTAGCCCAGTAATCTCTCCTGCAGGGCATGTGAAATACAGACATGTACATGATGACTATACCCAAAACCTTTCTTATATCACTTTCAGTCACTAGAGCAATTCTGTCCTTTTTCTCCAGTCTGAATCTGTTAGACTCCAACACTAGAACTTCGATCGATTCTTTCCCAAAGAGTCCCATGAAGACGTCTATTTCATTCTTGAGATTGGCTAGTTCTGGTTTAGGAATTAGGATGTTCTCCGGCAGGTCCCCGGGTTCTGGAAGGTCAGCCTTTTCCCATTTCCACTCCTTATCTGTGAAAACAGATGAGATAAGATAAGAATGCAAGTACATCAAACGGGATGCACATTTATATTATACAGATACACAAGGTATAGATAACATACAAGAAGGTTTTACCTACGTTTTGTGTGAGTTATTGGCCTTTTTCGGTGCTGCATTGTCTACGTCATCTGATTCTGCATCAGCTTCAACTTCCTGGTCGTTGACGTCATTCAGGGCTTCACCATGGTTGTTCTCTTCATCGTCTTCACCACCTGAACCAATGTAATCTGGGTCCATGTCATCATCCAATGGCTCCATTTCATCCTCAGAAAGTTCAGCGTCTGTGTCTAAACGGTCATCGTCACTACCAGATGGTAGGTCCTCACTGTCATTATCATCAAACAATTGGGTGGCAACATCTTCTGCTGTAAAAAGTCGTCCGCTATGCCTGAAATATGAAGGTTTACGTATCAAAGGATATCCCATTCAGTTTCAGCCATTTATATAAGATTTATCACAAAAATAGCACTGTTCATCAGTGCTCCCATTGCATGAACCTCACATATTATGGGACTTTTTAGTAAAGCCACCATGTACATATCCCTCACACATGTGAGGTTGCCATAAAACGGCCTATCATTACACATATATGAATCTACAACCGGTTTGGTGGCTTCTACGTGTTCTATGTGAGCTTATATGATAGTATATCCCATTGCTTTGGGTTGGATATACCCACCCTTGTTTCTGTGGGGGGTCAAAATGATTGAAAATCGCACTCACCTCTACCTTGTGGGGGCGGCTATCTTGGAAATCTGAAGAGGACTACTGGAGACATCTGCTAACATAATTATGAACTATAATACCTCACAAATGTAACATGCATGCATTCCAAGGGATGGGTGCCTTGTGAGAGCTGGGAGGGGGTCTGAAGAAACCTCACATATGTGAGGCATATGCACCAAAGGGTTAAAATAATAAATAATAATAAAAAAAACATTAAACATTATTATTATAAAAAATTAGTATAGTAGTTGTGTTACGTAACCCCCTAAATCAAGATGGTTGGTGTACGCCCAAAAGTGAAGGAATTTTTGGGAGAGTGCAGCGAGGATTTTGCTAATAAATGCTACAACAATGACATATTCATGTGCTTTAGAAGTAGAACTGCTTCAATGCGTATTGCATATTTAAGGCTTCCTCACACATTCCTTCTTACTGTGTCCTTTCATCGCCTTACCACAGGTCTTACACGTTCTCACTTTAGCAGGCACACTCTGCACAGTTTCTTGTTCATGATGGAAGGCTCCCGACTGGTAATGTGGCTGAACTTCCTTGTGTTTGAAGGCATCCAGCTGAGCAAGGCGGCTTCCACGGCTCTCCTTCCTCTTCAGTTTTGCAATGTCTGTCAGCGAACGTTTACGCTGTCCAAGGCGTACCCTGTCGATGCGCTTCCACATGGCCGAAGCATTGGGGGAAAAGTCCCATCCGTACGACTTGTGTATCAGGCGGCAGGTCCGAGTCATTCCACAGTTGAATACCATCACAGCGATTGCAATTCCTAGCTTGGTGTCATTGGTTGAGTGGAACTGGTCTTTGGGAACCATGTTCCACAATACATGGTGCAAGCTTTCATTTTGGTTTTGAGTTAGACAGTTTTTGCATCCTTCTAAAAATTCAATGCGTGACAGGAAGTTGAATACAGGCTGCAGTACCTGTACAACAGCATATGGCAGGGGATTTTTCACAGGCAGGTACGTTTGCGATCCAGTGGATTGGTCAGATTTCCATTTGCACCAGCTGTCAGGACCATCTGGACAATACTGATGGTGTGGTTCACTGATTGTTGATCTGTAATGCTCCAGAATAGCCTTTGTGGCTATACTCATTGCTGCAACATCCCCCTTATTCTGGCGTAGAGCTTTTCCATAAAATGTCTGAAAGCTGTCAATTGCTTTATGGGTTAATCTGCCAGCTCCCGTTAGGCCTTTCCCGTCTGATAATTTTTCCCCTTTATTGTCAGTGACAAGTTTTCTCAGACGGGAGCCCATTCTCTTCTGAATATGCCCAATACATTCTTCTTTGTGGACAGTACACAGCGCTCGATAAGGTATACACTTCTCTATCATTGTGAATGCAGAGCTGTCACCATCACCGACAAATGTCGTATAGCGGAGTCCATATTTCTCGACGCTTCTCTCCCACAGGATTTTGGCACCCTGTGCCTCCATCCTGATTCAGGTTACAGTTTGGCTCATGGCGTACAGCCCAATCCAGATACTGGGCTGTCCCATCTTTGCCTTTCCAACGCTGGCAATCACTGCAGTGGGAGCACATATATACTCTATCGAGCACCTTCCCAGTGTCCACAGATATCATGCACGCAAACCCGTGCCACGAGGAAAACCCTCTCCTCAGCCATGAGCCATCGACTGAAACTGCAATGTCGACAACCAGCTCTTGCATCGCCGTTTCATTGTGTAGAACAATTTTGGCTTGCTCTGAGCTGCAAGCACCACCGGCTGAAACTTTCATTTGTTTGACTTCTATTGCAGATTTGAAAAGAACCTCCTCAAGAAGGTCATCGTCTAGTCGATATGCCATTTCTTTACTTAACTTACTATAGGGTCCCGGGCTCAGAGGTTTTGGCATATCACAGATGCTGGCAAACTTTAGCAGTCCTCGTCTGCCGCGTCCAATACACCTCATCGCAAAGATGGCCTTCTTGTTGATGTCATATTGTTTGCCTGTCTTACGGCTGCTATGAAAAGATGAGGCATTTATTTTATATGTTTTCTTGCAATTCCTATTGCTGCACAACATTGCCAAACGTGTTCCAAATTCATGCTGTTGGCCACGTTCCTTCAGTTGGATGGATCCCTTTTTGCACACTCGACACACTGCTGCCATCTTCAAGTGATTTATGCTGGCCATAGACATAATTCCGGTGTCTGCTTTACACTCTTCACCACTGGAATCGGAGCTGCTGCTAGTGCTGCTAATGGTGAACTTTTGTTGGTCCTCCCACGGAGAACAGCCTGGCTGCGCATCCTGCACCGTTTCCAGTCGTTGCTTCTTGCCTTTAATAAAAAAAAAGTTCGTTTAGAATCATTGAATATTAGTGTACCAGTATTTATTTATATTTTATATAGACTTCTTGTTCATACTTCTTAGTTAGCTAGTGTATACTATTCAGAACTTTATTGTTTACATGTTGTTGACAAAGTGTAAAAAATATTCCAGCTATAATAAACATTAAGGTTAAAAATATTATCCATTGCGGAAATGAAACTTGCTTACTATATCCCGTTTGTCTCGCAATGGGTGGTCCAAAAGATAATAGACATAATAAACATGTTACTCCAAAATAATCTACATGTCGGGCTTTCTATAAAGTACTCGCTATTTCTGCTTCAATTGCTCGCTATTTTGATTTACAAAGAGGGTCGATATTTATGCAGTTTTTAGAATTTACTGCATATACCACATGCACACCCACCCATTGTGTTTTGCCAAGAATGTCACTAAAGTGTGTAGTCAACTGATTTTGACTCAGTTATCAGGAATGCCACCACGTGTGTGCATTCAAACATTTTAATATTATAGTAAATTCTAGTGTTGTCCCGGATTTACCGAATTACTAGTATCATAGAGTTTACCTGCCAGGCTCGGGAATTCAACACATTTACAGGATATGAAATTATGAACTACAGTGAATAAGTTTAAATGTCTACAATGTAGAAAAACAGGCGTCTAGGCATTGTAAAAATTCACTGCATTGACTAGGAAATGAAATTGACAGGCCAAACGAAATTAATTGTCAACGTCTACTTGTTATTACTAATGAACGAGCAAGACTCACTGAAATACTGTACCCGACTATATAGAAAGAAGTAACTTTAAGCAGTATCACTAGTATTAATAATTACATTAGCATAATATCATGATATTTATTACTTTTGCTTCTTATTGTAATGCTATTTGCAGTATTTAACACATGACCAGTCCTCTCACTTTTGTGAAAAGGACTATTAGTATTAGATCTGAATTATTTACATTGTGGATCTCAAGGTTTAGTTTCAACGCCTCCTCAGTGCTGTTGTTAGACCTATGCAACTTTTAGATTTGTATGATAATAGTACACTACAGGTCGAGCATCCTTTTCGAAAAGCCCCCCGTTTTTCTCGAATTCTGACACAACACCATATAATATATATCGTATGCGGTTATGGTTCAGTCTAAATTCATGCACATTTTTCTAATTCTAGAATATCGTCAGATTATGAAAAGCACTTTCACATAATTTATTGGTCTACAACATGGAATGCTACAATTGTAGTCAGTCGCGTATCACACATAAGTGCTGGCACCCCATATTAGTTTAGTACCTACGGCTACGGGAAAACATCGCAGTATCCTTGATCCACTAGTCACTACTAGTACTACTAAGCACTAGTAAGTAGTAGCTAGTAGTAGTACACTAGTACTACAAACTTTTAGATACCGAACAGAATTCATAAAATCAATTTAACGATTGTGCTTTACAGTTTAGTCTTCGCATCACATTATAATTAGAGCTAGTAACTAGACTGATCGTAAGCATTGTACACCATAGCGCATTGTAGCTGATTCTACTTCAACGTAAGCCTACTATCGGTAGGCCTGTAGTATACCTGATCTTCGGAGCTGGAGAGAATCCTTCTTCACTGCTGCAAACGCATATCTTGTTTTCTTCTTGCGGCCCATTGGGCCATTCCAGCAAAAATAATGTAGATCAAACTTCCCAGCTTTCAACGGGGTTCGGTTGCAGTTCTTCGAGCGATAAACGTTAAAAAATACTTATATGAGGTAAGGTAACTGTCACTTCTTCTTTATTTGCACGAACAACGAAAATACAAATGGCGGCGGTTGGCAACCGGCTGCACTTGATCGTGTCTCTGACGTCACCAATACATGTGTATTTAAAGAGTCGCTGGCTGCGCCACAGGGGCGTGGACAATGGAAACGCTCTAAAAGCTGACACGCACTTGTATATTGCGAAATGAGTGTGTACAGAGGTGGCCTCTAGTGTAAGCGAGCGTATAAGAACGAAAACGAAAAATCGATGAAATTTCATGCACAACGTGGAGAGTGTCCTTAAACATGTAGTTGACGCTTGCAGGATGTTTTTGGACACGACAAATCATTGAATCATCTGCAGCTCGCTTCTGGCATCGACCTGCAGCACGTGTGCAACTATGGGTTTGAAGCTGGCTTGCTAGATGGTGGAGGCGAGAGAAATCTTCTTCATCTTTAACAAGTCCGCGTCTCATCAACGTCTCCATATCAGTGTGTGCTGTGACCGAGAACATGTCTCTAAGAGAGCATCTGATGCGTTTCAGTGAGACTTCGTCGCTTTCTGAATGCAAAGTTATGCCGCCATGAATATGTGGTCGATTTCCCAGTGCTCCACTACTCTGGAATTCATACCTCATCCATGCAGTCTTTACATGTCCAAGTGGTCGCTGAGGGCTGTACTGGATGTAGTTCCACACATAGCAACTTGTTCTCTCCCAAGCTCGACACATGATGACCGCATAGTTTTGTAGCATGGCGTCTCGGTTGAGGGCATCAGTTCGCTGTTCAATGGCTGCTCTAATTGGCCAAACACCCATTGTAGCACTATCGTTGCAGGTGAGTGTCACAAAATAGTCCCACGCACTCTCTGATCGCAACAGTGCTGACAATCGTTTGACTTCTCGACGAGCATCTAATTCATCCAACTGCATGATACTCTCACGACTGTGTATCGATTGTGTGCTATGATTGCGTGTGAGGTGCTCTAGGCTTTTACGACAAGCAATGACGGCAGAGTTGGTGTTCAGTACACTGTTTAGCAGAACATCAAAGTTGAACTGCAGGTATGCAGATTCACGTGAAGTCAGCAGGCGCCATCCATCAAACGCACATACATGTGCTCTGGGAGTGAGGCAACATGGAAATGCATTTGCATGCATATTCCAGAAAATGCGTGGAAATAGCTGGGCCTCTGGATATAGGAGCGGCACTGTCCATTCTGGTGTGCGTGCACAGATTAGCTGAAGTATTTTCTGTGCAGCTACAGGTGGCTTCTGTGACTTAGTCGTGCGGTTTAAGACTTGGAGATGGTTATTCAGCAAGTAATGACCAAGCGTTGCATTTGAGGTACGCTCGGAAAGGTAGCCAACATTAACTGTTGCAGATGTGATGTTGGGGCATGTGTCGGATGCATAATCATTTCCTCCAATGGAATAGCGTTCAAGTGGATAACAAGAAATATCGTGTGAATCAGTGTCGTTGACCGAAAGAGCAAGAATGTCCTCAGCACCATTGTTTTCTTTGTCATGATCAAGGACTGGAGGTACCTCAACATGTCTATGGTGTACATCTGGACCATAGCATCCAACAGTAATAGGTCTGTCTTGATCGTCATGGGTGTCTAGCTTAAAATGATGAAGGCACATGCCAACAGCACACTGAACATGACCCAAACCATGCGGACAGCGTCATCGAATACCAGTTTGGCCTGTTGCCACACAACAAGGTATGGCGCACCCCTTCTGCTGACGCAAAAGATATTCATGATGGATGAGACACACAATCTTTGACTGGCCTCCACATCGTTGCAAAACATCGTCTCTGGCTTTTTGCAGTTTATTGGCAGTGGCATAAATAAGAAGTCACATCTGCGATGATGGCCTGTTATGAAGCCGTGTTCCAGTGGGTTGCCAGTAGAATGCGGGAGTCCACCGAAAAGACACCTCGACGTGATACCCAAGTGCAAGTCTTTTGATAGACAAACCAAACAACAGCATCCACTGGCCATCTGCAGATTGCAGTGGCACAGGTTCTTGACGACGAACACGTCCTGGCCTTGTCACAAGCAGTAAACCCGTATGAACTGTATCAGTTCTTGGAAATTCCCACTGATCGTTCATTTACTGAGACTCGATGCCAGGACAAAGATACTGCAATACTTGTGCAACTGTTTCCTCTGCACTGCGTGCATGAGTTCGTGCAGACAAAGCAGTCGATACTTCTGTTAAGGTTGATGCCTTGACTGGTGTGCGTGTCATATGCGTGTTATGGGCAAACGCTTTGCACATATCGAGCACTTGTCTAGCTAGTTGTTCATTGGGGTGGTGCCAAACATAATTAAGTAAGGAAGTGTGCAAGAATCGTACATGAAGCAAGCATTGCAATGTCGCATACAATAACCAACTCATAGGAAAAGCGTCGTTTTCTCCTGAGATATGTCCACGGAGAATGTGAAATGGTCCGTGTCCAGTGTGGTTGTTGGTGTGTACAATGAAAAGGCAGTCACATTGTAACGCACCTTTTAACGTTACTGTGTTAGTTATTGAAGTAGAATGTATGTGAAGCCGAAATACATAAATGAGAATAGAGAAGTCAGATGTTTACCATTATTCGTATTTTACTTGAAGATCAGAACAGTTACAGTGTTACAAAATGTAGTCGCAGTCGCTTCTGGTTGTCGAGAGCCTCCTCTATCTCCTCCTCGTCCGACCCTTACCTTCGGACGAGGAGCAGCAGTTCTGTTGTCGCAAGGGCAGCAGCCGCAGCAGCAGCAACTGCAGTCGTCGGGAGATTTCCCGATTTTCCTTGTGCCGCGGCGTTTATAGCCGCTGGCACGCTCGCGGCGCATGCGTCACGCATGCGCCGTAGACTCTGGCGCATGCGTCGTACACACTCGCGAAGGCGTTGCACACGCCCTACCCTACGCACGTGCTACATACATTTGTGTAGGCGTTGTTGTTTTCCACTGATAGGACTAATTGAGTGACTATAGATGTTGTTGTCTAATTTGTTTCTAAGTGACTCTAATCTGTTTCTGATTGACCTCTAATGGGTAAGACGCCGATGCGGCGCTCCTAAGTGACCTCTAATGGGCAGGGCGCATCTCGGCGCTCTAATCGGTTTCTAAGTGGCTCTAATCTGTTTGTAAGTGATTTCTAATGGACTTGTTGACGCGGATGCGGCTACTGCTAATTAGCCGATGCCATCTTCGTGTGACATATAACCGAGTCGTAGCTAAGTGCTGTGTGACCTATAACCAAGTCGTAGCTCGTAGAGGGTAGTGATATCTAGCCGCTACATTTCTCCGCATTTCTGCTACATTCTACATTTTCATCGCCCACTCGCCTGTCGACAAAGTGATTGACCCGGTGGGGGAGAGATAGTAGCTCTATTAATTTGTAACCGCGCGCGTGGCTGCGCGCGTCGGTG